TTACTGTGTGTTTTCAATGTGGTGTTTTTACCTTGTTTCTCATAGGGTGCTGGTCAGGATAAACTGGGAATCTATGTCAAGTCTGTTGTGAAAGGAGGCGCTGCGGATGTGGTCAGTATCAGTTTTAAAGAAGCAAATGTTCAGTGTGCCATGTGTTTAAGAAACAACGTGAGATACTCCACTGATACTTTTCAGTTATGTATAACAACATGCAGTGTTTGTTGGGAGAACCAGCATGATGTGTGCTTATCATTGCATGTCTTTTCCCCTCCCTCCTCCTTCGCTGTCCCCACCACTAACTCCTGTCCACACCTTGTCGGTGGGCCCAGGATGGACGACTAGCTGCAGGCGATCAGCTCCTCAGTGTGGATGGACGAAGTCTGGTTGGACTCTCTCAGGAAAGGTATGGATTGATTTATTTGTTTGAGGTTTAGCATTAGCATTTTTAGGTCATATTTCACAGTAAATTTTGAAATTAGAAGACAAAACATAATGCTAAAAAGTTGTGTTCTTACTACGCTTTACCTTTTTAAGTGTAAAGCTCTTAGTGTACATGACATTTCATTTGTTACCAAATTATAAACATGTATTTTGGTCTAGAATAATTTCTTTGAAACTGAAAAGAGACAAGTGCTTAGCACTTCTGTAAATTACTGAGTGTTATCTTACAATTCTTAATATGATAGCCTGCGCTCTGTCGTTTGCATGTTTTCATAGTCAGTTGTCGAAGGAAGGAAATGGGCCGGGGGGAATTGTCCTCAAGACAGCAGACGAGGCTGTGTGGACCACAGCTGTCTTTGCAGCTGCGGTGACAGAGCAGGCCCTGGGCTTCCGTTTCCTCACATGTGTGACACTCTCTTCCTAGGGCAGCAGAACTCATGACAAGAACCAGCTCGGTAGTGACACTCGAAGTCGCAAAGCAAGGTGCCATCTACCACGGCCTGGCTACCCTCCTCAACCAGCCATCCCCCATGATGCAGAGAAGTAAGGACAGTGGTGGGTCACTGACCACACCGGGGTAGCACATACCATAGCCAGGTATCTGGGTGCTGTACAGTTTATAGTCATGACCTCTTTTCATAATCACAAACCTCTGGAATACGCCCTAAAGATAAAGAAGCTGAGGGTAAGAGCACCGAAGCTTGATTCCCAGGTCACTGCTGGAACCAGGATTCAGATGTCGGCCAGGTTCCCCTCCCTGTCCACAAGAGCCGTTTAACTTCCCCCCACGGAGCTGGCTGGCTGCTGGTGAGCTTCTGTAGGCCCAGCACTAAGTAGGCGCTCAACCTGTAAGATAGCAAAGGGATGGATCTTTAGTTTTTATAGACAAATTCATGATACAAAGTTTCTTTAAGGAATCAGTTCAGTTCTCTACTTAACGAATATATATATATTCATTTGTATGTGAGTAGTTATTTTAGTCCTGCATTTGCTGAGATGAAGCATGATAATGTTTTTGTGTATGTGGTCGTGCTTCACTTAATGATGGGGATAGTTTCTGAGAAATGCATCCCGTGGTGATTTTGTCCTCGTGCAGACATCATCGTACTCATCTAGGTGGTACGGCTTAGTGAACATCGAGGCTGTGTGGGACAGCCTGTGGCTCTGGGGCTGCAACCCTGTACAGCATGTGACTATGCTGAATACTCTGTAGGCAGTTTTAACATAATGGTGAGGATTTGTGTATCTAAACATAATCTAAACATAGAAAAGGTACAGCAAAAATAAAAGTGTAAAAGATAAAAAAA